AAACTCAAGGCCCGGGGGCCAAATCCGGCCCGCGACTTCATTTTATGTGGCCCGCAAGAGCTTGCAAAGAATATAATACGTTTTTACGGTTACATACTACTACAGTATATCTACATATGTTCATTTTAATTAATTTCTTATTTTATAGTTATTTATCTTTTCCTTTTTTTATCTTTGATTTATCCTTAATTGTATTAATCTGTGGGAATTTGTGCTGTCCTGTTTTTCAATCTTAGCCTTTCGCTGTTAAACCAATGAATGTCCCCACTGGGATTAATAAAGGTCCATCTTATCTTATCTTATTTTACAGAAGCATGTTGCCCATAAATGATTTGACCTAGACTTCTGCTTTCAGACGTATACTTTAATTATGAAGTTTTTACCCTATCCAATGATAATCCAATGCAAAGGCAAAAATATAATACAATACATTATTTCATATATATTATGTATTTATATATGTATATTTATATAGTTACAACCGGCCCTTTGAGTGCAATAATGCTAATGTGGCCCACGATGAAATTGAGTTTGACACCCCTGATCTAAAGTAACAGACAGAGAATCAGCACTTTGGAAACAAGGCTGAAACAGAGGTTTATGGGATGCTACATTGCATGATCCGTTTGGTATTTCAAGCCAAACACTTCAGAGACATGTTTTTTTTATATATCTGAGACCTATAATATATTGATGAAAAACAGTATAATAAGGGACCTTTAAACTGTCACCTTATGGTCTGTGCTCACTATCATCATCCTCCCATTGCCTACCTGCTGGTGCATACTGTGGACATCAGGTGGTGTGAGCAACTCCAAAGCTGTCATTATGGCCACCAACACCTCAGTCCCCCAGCTGCTCGGCAGGTGACAGATGGACATGTCTCCAAAGAAAACAACAGACTTTCTGCAGGCGTTCTCTCATCTAATCTCCTCCTCAGTCTGCCACTCGGTTTTCTGCTGGGATGCTGGGTAAACTTCTCAGATTTGGGAATGGAAACATCTTTGAAAAGTTTGTGACGCACTGAGCAGGAGACTGCGGTCGAGAGTTAGGGAGGACAGGTGGTTGGGCACTGCCCTCTAGTGGGGAAACAGAACCAGTGCACATTCAAACACTTTCATTTATTTTCCTTTAGTAAGGTCTTTTTAATGTGTGTTAACATTACAAACCTGTCAGCCTGCTGGTTAATAGTTGTTCGTCATTACTGTATGTTATGAATCTCTAACCATTCTTGATTTTAGCCTACATTGCTACCATATGCAGACTTAATGTAAGGCTGAATAATCATAAGGTAAATCTGTAGCATAAGTGTTCATTTGTTTGTAAATGTGTTAGCTTCTTTTGTATTTAGTATCAGATTCAGTGCAGTTACTACACTTCTGAGAGTTTTACTGCGATAGATCTGATGACGCATTTCAAAATCTCAGAAGAGCACTAAGGACCCTTAGGAATATGAGCACTTTTTCCACAGGCTTCTCATTTCCTCCACACTGAAAAGGCCTTCGAGACCAAGGTGTTGAGTCACATTACACTTTCTCCTAATAAACCATGAGCTTTAAGAGAACCTTATAAGGAAGAGGCTGGCCATTAGGGATTTCCTAGTGAAAGACAAAATCTAACAATAAAGTGATCCCACAAATTACTTTAAACTGTGTCCCAAAAAAAACCCAGCGTTGCTCTGGTTGTCCCTTTACAGTATGGACACCCACACTCACCCTACTGCCATAAACACTCGCTAGCACACCAAATATGTATTGAGGCAAAAATACACCGCAACAAATGTAAGAGTAACATTTGCCCAAAACCCCAGTGCCTATTTCTTTAAAGAAATGACCAAGCCTTCAAAAAAAAGAAAAATTTGATTGGATTTACTGGGAATGGGTTTGGGTGTCACAACACTGACACGTTGTTCTTTGTAAGGGTAAATGAAAAGTAGAAACACTGTAATTAAATAAAAATTACTTTATTTTTTAAAATAAATGCATTTTTTACAGTCAGAAAACAGAACAGCAGGACATGCACCGCCGCTCCCGACACTGGAGGCAAACTAAAACAACATCAGAGAAAATAAAAACAGACTAGGCTTGCTTTTCTCTTACCTCTGTTCACTTATGCTGATTTGTCTCAAACTCCAGGGTCTCCTTCATATGGACATTATTAAATGGCACACTTCAGTTGTGACGAAAACAGACGAATAAGTGAAGTGTTTTAAAAAAGGCGCTGAGAAAACTTAATTTGCACAATATAAGTATCACGGTTAGTCTAAAGAATGAGCTAAAAACACAACCCAGGGCTGCAAATGGACAGAAACGAAAGCAGAAAATCAATAAAATGAAGCAGAAATGCAAGAAATGAAGAGCACATTGAAAAGGCATACGTATTTGTTTAAAAAAAAAAATTATAATATGTACTTGACAAATATCTTAATCAAACCTGGAGTTTGAGACTAGTGTTATCTTCATATATATTCATATTTATCTTCATCTGGATACTCAGTAAGGACACAACGTAAGTAGGCACAATTCTGAATACTACACATGTTGACGGGCGGCTTTCCCCCTCATCTCTGAAAGGAAAGACTTCCAAACCCCCCACAGCAGAAACAAACTGTACAATTCTATAAAATGTTTGTGTTTTTACATTAGTTACAAAAAAATAATACTTCATTTACTGATCCTTCATACTGAGGACAGAAGAAAAGAAAGCGTTGCATATTCGCTCTTCAAACTCAGTGACCTGTTGCTGGTGTGTAATGATAAAAATGATAATAATAATAATAATACTATATGGTGTGAGAGACAAAATGGCAATAAGGTAAAAGGTGGTAAAGGGAGTTATGATTCCTCCTGTTATGTAGTGCACGTGATGAGATGCCAGGGGTTTAGAAATCTGGATGTAATTTAAAACAGGATGTTGAGATGTGGCAAAATGTAGACGCCATATTGGTTTTTTTCATGCCAGGTCATAAGAAAACGGCTTAATTAAAAAAAAAAAAAAAAAGGGGTCTGCCTTAAATGATAATTAAAATCTTCAGGTCATGTAGCTTCATGTTGCACCCTCCAATATTTTTTAAAACATGAGGAAGAGACACATTTTAAATACACAACCTTTAGTAATCTACCTTAGCTCAACATACCGACTAACATATTTGTTTAAAAGCTTGTTTTCAGAAAACTTTTAGATTTACTGAACACTAAAGTGAATGACATTTACTTCTCTTTAAAGATTTCTAAACCCGCAGGACCCTCATCCCAGTGCACTGTACTGTAGTGTGTCTCCAGACATGCTCACTATTAGCAGTTTATTAAATACAAAACAAACCTCTCAATGTCACACCTGTCAGCTAATACAACAAGAATTCATTACAGAGACTCGACCCTCTGGGCGAGCTCAAAAACAAACACAAGGACATCAAAAGCAAAAAGAAATTCAACAACAGCTTATTCATGAACAGGACTGTATACTGTAGAAGTGCTTACATGTGACTTAAAGAGATTAACCCTTCGTAGAGTGATAGGATGGACATGTAGTGCCTTTTGTTCGGACTTAGAAGAAGTCCGTCTTTTAGGATAAATAATTCGATATAACTGTAGCTATCTGTGGCACTAGGATTACAAATGTTTTAATGACAGTCTGATGTCAGCTTCTTTAGCTCAGTTATTAGGAGAAAAGGCAGGGAGAGAAAAAGTGAAGAGAAAAAAACATCTTTGGGATTCAATGTGGCGTTTGATTGGCTTTAAAAAGGGTTGTCATGGACGTAATGTTGATGGCCGTCAGTCCAGGAGGAGAGGAGAACACTTCCTGCTTCAGGTGTGTGTAAGGCTGCCGCTCAACCACAGGAGGTTACCTTCAAAAGTTTATAATCTGGCCTGCGTTCACCAGAGAGTTAGTGTTGTAACAAAGACCTGGTCAGCGTTTATGCAAAGAAACACTTTAACAATAAAATCAGCCGTGGCAATGTTGGCGCCGTTCTGGACTCTCCAGCACAGCTCCAAACATTCAAACAGACTGAGAAATAGTTAGAATTAAAATAAACCCCATACACTGTGGTTCCCCCCCCCAGCCACTCCCCTCCTGGCTCCTGACCTACAATGGTTGGCCCCTGGCCTGGTGGTTGGGGGCCGCTCAGACCCAGCCGCTGGTCAGCTTATAGAACATCTCCTCGTCTAGAGACTCGTTCTGGTCCTTGGCGCGTGTGGACAGGAAGATGTAGCCTCCGATGAACTCGTGCACCACCTTGCAGTCCACCTCGGCGCAGATGAAGGACAGACTGGGCTCGTCTGCAAACTCCACCGTCACCTGAGCACAGAGCAAACACATCAGTCAGGCTACAATGAAAACATGCAAAACTACCGTAATTTTCGGACTATAAGGCGCACCTGAATATAAGCCGCAGCAGCGGCATACCACTCTCGGTTCCACTTTTACTTTTGCGCGCTACCTGTCTCACTCTTTTCCGGCCTCCAGCTTTTCCTGCTGGAACCCGCCGCTTAAAGGTGGGGGTCCGCGGACCGGCCATAGAGCCCATAGAGTTAAAGGTGGTGGCCGTTAGCTGTAAAAATCCATAGATTAGCCGCACCGTTATATAAGCCGCAGCGTCGAAAAATAGGGAAAAAGGCGCGGCTTATAGTCCGAAAATTACGGTACTTCACCAACAGTCCAAAACCTTAAAAAAGTAGTCCCTCCAGCAACCACTCAAGTTGCAGTTTACATGCATTTATCTCCAAATGTCATGATTTTCTCATTTTATCGAATTAAACATTTCTCAAAAGTTGTCATAGTTGACATTTGAATTATTGAGTTGTGGCTAATGCAGCGTTTTGTGAGGTTGACCTCACAGGTCAAGTCAACTTGAAGTTTAACCTTTGTGTGCTGTTTGGGTCTGTGGGACCCGTTTTCAAATGTTTACTAAAAGAAAATGTATGCAATTTAATTATCTTAACCTGCTTTATTTGGGGGTGGACCTCACCTCCTCTAGGGGGGTCCGGGGGCATGCTCCCCCGGAAAGATTTATTTTTAAATGTTGAAGTTAAANCAATTTAATTATCTTAACCTGCTTTATTTGGGGGTGGACCTCACCTCCTCTAGGGGGGTCCGGGAGCATGCACCCCCGGGAAGATTTTTTTTTTAATGTTGAATTGAAATGCCTCAATCTGGTGCACTTTGAACAAAAAATGTATTTATGGATACAGCTCTCAACACACTGAAAGGGAGCTGTATACTTTTCAATAATCCAAACATCTTTAAAATATGATCAAAACCAATAACAAATCATTTACACTTGTTTATTCTTATATCTTATGTTACCTAGTTAGCATTCTTTCTTTTTATTTATGCATATTTTACTAATCACTCCCCTTTTAATTTTTTTAATTTTTTTACTGTCCTATAGTACACATTGGAATGATTTCTTACTTTATTTTTTACACCTAGGCTATATTAAACAGATACATGTGTGCTCTCGCGAGAGAGCACACATGTATCTGTTTAATATAGCCTAGGTGTAAAAAATAAAGTAAGAAATCATTCCAATGTGTACTATAGGACAGTAAAAAAATTAAAAAAATNGGTGTAGACTCCGGTGCTGATGATAGCGGAGCTGTAGATTAACATTTGTGAAGTTATTGTAGTTGTATACTTGATGTGGAAATCATGGAGTATTTTTTGTTTGGATCCAATATCGTATATTTGTACTGCCTAGTGAGAAGCTAATATCGAGTGTCCATCTGAGGGTCAGTGACGAGATTGTCTCTCGCAATCACTCTGCTATATCTCACTCCTCTCTCATCTCAACTCGCCTCTCGAGGGAACTCTCTGCTCGATTCACGTCGAGGCGGATAGAAGAAGACACCCAGGAGTTTACTGCATGTGGAATGCCAAA